AGTGAAAGTCAGATATACGCTAACCCTGACTATGCCTTTGAACTTCTAACACTAACCAGGATTACTCAAGAACTTTCTAAGCATGAGGCTGATACATTCCCTCTGTGTTCTGTACTTCAAGATGGGAGACAGAGAAGGAGAGAGTCAAGAGCAGATACATAAAGGAAAAAAAGTGCACTAAGTAACACACACTAAATAATAATTTAATGTACACTTAAAAAAGCAGACAAATCCCACCTCGGAGATTCCAAGTCTGTAGGCAAGGCTGCCAATCATGTGCCCCAGTCATCCACAAATAATATCCTTGGAGTGGAAATCCCAGCTGTATACATTTTACTTTCCCTCCAAATGCTTCATTTTTTCCAAACCTTTTCCTCCTTCCATGTGGTTGCTCAGACCAATTCGACTGTGTGCTTACTGGCATGTTATGAAACATGGAAACAATTAGAAACCACATTCTAGGGCACTAGAATGACTTGCTACAGAATCAATGAACTACGCAGAACTTGAGAGGATTTGGCAATAAAGATGGAAACTGTGGAATAAAACCCACTAACAGTATTTCATATTACACAAGACAGTCTACAACAGCTTTCAACTGATCTGTGTGTTTCAGGCAGCAGTCACGCTTTACCTTCAAAATCTCGTTTCTATCATTTTTTAAAAAAAATTCTTTATATGCCCTAATGAAATTCATATGAAATACTCAACATAGACTTCCTTCAGGGTTGACAGCTGAATGTATACACCAGGCAAAGAGTCTTCTTAGTTAAGTTTGGGATTGTTTAAAGGCCACATGTGAAGGGTAGTAATGGCATTTGAAAATCAAAGAACTCATGTTTTCAAGTAATCAACTTAAGTCCTAAGTCATACTTCACACTTAAAAGGGTTTCTTTAGCCATGCAAATACTAAGAATGATCAGTTCTCAAAAAAGATGAAAGGGAAACTTCTAACACCTGCTAAGGAACCCAGTAGCCTTTTGTCTCAGTGAGCTGTTCTAACTCACCAAATGTATTAATACAAGTACTGTTGATAAACCTTAGATCTGAGTGACAACTTAAGAGTGAACCGACCAGGCATGTGCTGGCTCAAGCCTGCAATCCAAACACTTTGGGGGCCAAGATGGGAGGACTGCTTCAGGCCAGGAGTTTGAGAACAGCGTGGGCAACAACGTTACAGTCTAGTCGCTACAAAAAAATTAAAAATTAGCTGTGGGTGGTGGTGTGTGCCTGTAGTCCCAGATGTTCAGGCAGGATGGCTTGAGCCCAGAAATTTTAGATTACAGTGGGCTATGATCACACCACTGCATTCCAGCCTGGACAACAGAGTAAGAATCTGTCTTTAAAAGAAAAACAAAATTGCATGAACCAGGCTGAGGCAAAACAGGCAGCTTGAAAAGAGAGATGGGCTCTAAGGCAGGAGAATTCCCTAGTACCATAAAATAACCAAAAAAGGGGAGAGGGAATGTAAAACTGAACCATAAGGAAACGTATCTTCAGCGACAGTTATCACGACATGTAACCCTTGTCTATATCCCTTATGATTTTCATGTTGTATTATGGTCAGTGTAGCAGCCAGAATGTTCTATTTTGGTCTGTTCCCCGACTGATCTCCCTTCTGGAGATCCTGTCCTGGGGAAAACCAAGCGGAAAAGAATCTCATGGTCTGAGCTCTACTCTCCTCTTGACCAAAATGCATGGATGTGCCACACTGGGAAATGTGGGCAGAATTAACTATGTTCAGTGACTTGGAGAGGTTGGGATTAATCGTCAACCACAAAGAAACAAACTCTTCTCATTTGAGAACAAGGACTGAATTATTTGGAGGCCATCCTTTGGGGAAACTGAAGTTGTCACTATAAACCCCCAACTGCTTTACCGAACAATACCGCTTAAGACTCATCGAGCCACCTTGCCACATCCTCTATCTCAGACGATACCCATAATTACCCTTCCATGTAATCTAATAAAGGAAAAAATGAGAATCTGAGGAGTCAAGTAAACTTGCTCATTGTCACACAGCTAGTAGGGACTCGAGTTGGCATCTGAACTCAGACATCTGACTGCAAAGTGCCGTACTTGGAACTGTCCCGCAGCTGTGCTCTCTCATGGTGGTATCCCCATGCAGTCTTGTATAATATCAAGCTGTCTTCTCTTTTTCTCCCCTCTTCCCTGCCGCAAATCTATGGTCAGTGGCATCTAGCACACTTCTAATTCACAGAAGCGTTTACAACACGTACACATGTTTTCTTAATGTACCAGGGGAATAAATATTATTTTAAGAACCTGAGCCTTAAAATAAATAATGACATTTCAAGCTTCAGCTCTTAGAGAGGTAATCTGTTTAAACTACCTGGAACACCTCCCTTTATGAGGAAGACTAGCGGCACTTCCCCTCATAGGGCCAGGCTAGTTCAAATGTCTGCTTTGAAGCTGGCTGCCAGGAATTGAGAATTCACTGAGTCCAGAGGTCAGCCCACAGAACCCACCACGTTCCTAAAGTCTGGAGCTATAGATTTCGTTAACAACTCACTCCCTATTTATAACATTGCTTTTAAAGTGAAAGCCAATTCAAGCTCTTGTTTGGGAATCCAGGAATGGCTTCCCCTTTCTTCTGGCTACTTTAAGTAAAAGCAACTGTATAGGGAAAGAGTGAGATGGGAATGATGGGAGGGAGGAAGACGGAGGAGCAGATGAGACAATATGAGGCTCCAGTGCTGTGTTAAATCTCACCAGGACACTTGGTCATTCAGTCCCAAGTGTGCTAGACTGGAGAACAAAGGGCTTTTGGGCCTTGAGGCCGAGGCCTCCTGTGTAATGTCAGATTGGTGGTGGCTCAGAATCCCCAACCGCCTATTGGCTTATGCAGGTCATCATAAGTCTGGGTACAGGCTGAACCACTACAGAATAAAAATGACGAGACAGCATTTTAATTGGCCTCCTTAGGCCATTTAACAAAGGAGAAAGCTAACCTGCAAGAGCAAAGAGTAATTAATGAAGGGAGCAAACAGAGGTTCATTTAGCAACTTCCAAATAAGTTCCTCTGGCTGAGGGGGGTTGGGAGGGAAGGTAGCCTGCAACAGAAAGATAAACTGTAGGTATTTAAGTCACAGTGCCTTCCGCCAAGAACTGCTCATTACCATCAGATGGTGCAGTGGCAGTGGGGCCAGTTAGAACTAACTTTATTATTAGAAGCAATTAGGGAGAAAGGGGGCAGAAATTCATTTGGTTATTTCAAAACAAGTTTCTGTGCACAGTTTAATGAAGGCCTGCAGTGTCAAGATAAAATGTGTGTTTTACTGAAAACAGCTTTTGCAAATGACTGCTTGTTACCAGCAGTTATCTCTAGGCAGAACAGACCCGGTAGGTCGGATTTACATGCATGCAATAATACAATAGTTCAGCTGTCTCGGCTTCACAGAAGTGTCAACAGGCAGTATGGCCTGATGGTACAGCACGTGTGTTCTGGAGCCAGAGTGTCTGTCTTCAATTCCCAGCCCTGACTTTGGTAGCTGAATGGCCTTAGGTAAACTTTCTGTACTTTTCTGGGCCTCAGTGTACTCACAGGTAAACCGGAGGTCACAGTAGTGTTTCTTGTAATGTTAGACATTGTTATAGTTATTAACTGTTATATCCAAGGATTGCTTGAAAGGAGAGTTGTTTTCAAAGAAATTGCTTGTTATATTGGAGTTACCTTAAGTACAAATCGAGAACAGATCCATTTACATCTTTTGAATGGGGTTTGCATGTAAAGTATGACAGTTGTCTTGAGAGTCTGTCATTTTTATCTTAATTCCTTTTGAGACAATATTTCAACATCTCTATAAAATTCAGATGTTTTGAAATGATCTAATTGCTTTTTTGGTTTGCTAAACCAACCACATATACTGCTTTTGATTTCCCACCTTTGAGGTTACAGTTGTGGCTTTTTAATATTTTTTTATGTCTGAGCTTTCCCCTTATAAATCTCTTGGGCAGCTTTTCAATTGTCCCTCATGTATGCACCTAGGAGTACAGAAACTGCCATGCATTGAGCTTAGAAGAACATTTATAGAACCTCAACTCTCATACATAGGGAATCAGGTTTTCTCTCTTTTCAATATCCTTTCTGAAACTATCACAACCACAGTAAAAGAGACCTTTCACTTGCAGTTTCAAATTCTGTCTTGAATGTCCTCAACACTTCAGTGGAAGTATCTGCTATCTTCAATGAAGTTTCAGAGACCCCCTTCATTAAATTCTCAAGGTTAAAGGTTGATTTTCTTCAGATGGCTACAGTAGGTACACATGTACTCAGGAATATGGTATACCACTTACCCATTATTTTCTAGTCTTTCAAATCAACAGCATTTAACTAATGTGCCATGTACCATAACATTGGACTCATATGATGAATAAAACTCTTTTCTTATACATTACCAAGCAATGACTCCATTATTAAAATCTACTCATTTTGGAGAAGTTTAAACTAGCAAAATGCCCGCTATGCATTTATGTGTTTTCTCGGCCGTGTATTCAGCCACATCATTTTTCCAGCTGCCCTGACTTAATTTATACTAATGCAAATAATTTAAGAGCCTCTTTCACAGAATTTAAGTCTTGCACTGCAGATTACAAGAAAGAAAAAGTTGACAATAGCGGAAGTACATATTGGTGGGATTCTCCTTAAAGCCCGTGGGTTCCTGTTCAATGGTGTTTCTGAAAGAGGTTCACGCTAATACTTATTTTCTCTAACCAAGTTTTCTATTCCTCTGAATAATCCTTTTTTTTTCCCCTTTAGCAACCACACACATCATAACAGGGGAGAATTTCTTTTTTGAAAAGACCCAGAAGAGTTTTAAAGAACACTTTAATTAGAGTTGTTGATGTCCATTCATAGTTAGTATCTGTTAGAAAGTTAAGCCTTAGGGACGGGTTAGATTCTGAACAGAATAAAATATGCAATATACAGACTCTGAGGGAAAATTTTTAAATGGAAAGAGGTGGATACTTATGCTTACCCTTGATCTTTCTTCTAGTTTTGTCATCATGACAACTGTGGCACTCCGTTGCTCCCATATCATTCTCCAAAAGTCCCCAAATGTTTCGGGGAGAGATCCCTGTGTTGCAATATAGGCATTTTGTTTCCTATAGCCATCTATGTAGTTGGCATTCACGTAGTCACTTCCTGGGATTCCTGGAAAACAAGGGGCTTATTCAACCAGGTGTGCACATCACAAGAGTAAACAGTCTGGGACGTGACCCAATGGCAGTGCTAGCTCATTGTTCCACCTAACACTAGAGGAGTCACAATATATTGCAGGTAGAATTTTAATCAAGATTAAAAGTGTGTCCTATTAGAACCATCATGTTAAGAAAAAGGTATGCAAACAAGTTTCAGGTCTTTTTAGTATGACAAAGAACAAAAAATACAACAGATGGTTCATAGAACGCCTTTTCTCTCGCTGGTTATCAGTTTTCTCTGTTGCACCGGCAAAAAAAAAAATAGTTTGCAAAGAACAATAAACAATCTGGTAACATTCCTCACCCATGTGCTTCCCCACTCCCAGACAAAAACTAGATAAAAGAAGGCCCGAGTCTGAAAATGCAAGGGTGGAACACACCATAACAGGGAACCATTCTTTGTAGATTTAGTTAACAGGAAACTCATATGTAAACTCATTTAATTCTCACAATAACTCTATGCAGTAAGTCCTGTCATGATTATCCTTGTACAAAGAAGAAAACTGAGGTGCAAAGAAATTTTAAAAAGTGAGCAAGCTGCTAAAGTTGGTGGAGTCAGGTTTAATCATAGGCTAGTTGTCTGCATCTTTATCTCTGTAAAATATTGCTTCTCATTTAAAACTCGTGATTTGTTTTAAGCAGCACACAAACTTCTTGGATTAGGACAAATGCCTCCTAATTGGAAGTCTAACTTTTTCTTTTGTCTTCTCCAGTTTTTTCTCTATCTAACAGGAGATCAATTTTAAGAAATTTATTTCAGACACTGTAGTGTCTTCAAACCCACCAATGGCTTCCCTTCATACTCCAAACTCTGAACACTGCTTACAAAGCTCTGCAACTTCCCAGACTCATCTCACTCCACTCACCTCCTTGCCTTTGAAACTCTAGACACTGGCCTGCTTCAGTTATTAGAAAACATTAATTTCCTTCCTTAGCTCAATCCATATCCCAGAATATACTGTCTCCTTCCCATCACATAACACCCAGCCTCCATCCCAGAAGGCCTGCCCTGGAGTACCTTAATACATCAGAACTCCCTTGAAAACCCTTTATACTATTGATTACAAGTGGTAATTATTTATTAACTTGTTGGTGAATTTGCTTATTGCCTATTTTTACCATGTCTCTTTTATTCACCTTTGCTACCCTAGTGACAAAAAAGAGTAAACAATTTGCCCCAGTGCCAACATTTAATAAGTAGCAGAGATACAATTTAATGTAGATACTGTGATTTAAAGCCTAGATTTCCATCAACACATGCCTTTAAGACAGAGAGAGGCAAATTTGAGCTTCTTCCAAGAAGAGTAGCCACAGTGAATAAGGGAATCAAAGCTACTCCATATGGGAAAGAATGTATATTATAGCCTAGCAAAGGAAATGATAGGAATTGGGGATGAGAGCTGCCTGTGAGAATAAGAAGAGAGGTTTAGATTTACTCTGTTGAGTTCCAAGTTTTAAATTCTGAAGGATATAACTACAGAGACGTGGCTTTCATCTCTAAGACAATAAACCATTTTCAAATGGCCAGAATCGAAAAATGAGTAAATTTCCTTGGAAGGTAGTGAGTTGGCTATCTCTAGGTGGGAACAAGTACATTATAGGAATATCTGTATGATATGGGAGTTAGCACTAGAACTTCGGCACAATCCCTTCTATCCCTGGGAAATATGAGTCTTGAATTATGGGGTAACTATTTTTTTTCTTTATAATGAAACATATGTTTCCAAGCTAAAATTGTCAGATTGCACTGACTGCCACTTGCAGTGACTTTGACTGCTTTTCTGATTCCAGTTGTAAAGCTGATCCTCTCAAGAAAGGTAATGAAAGTCAGATGGAAGCTACTGCACTCTGAGATGAACACATGGGTATGGAATATCACCAGCATTAGCTGAAAAGCCTTTTGAGCAAAACGTGAAACGCACAGTTGGTTGTAACGTTATTCATCTATTACAGCTACTCAAGAAGCAGTTGGGGTTTTGGCAGCCCTTTGTTGATAAAGATCCTATTCCTCCCCAACACCAGATTATTGTAGATTCAAATGACAGTTTAAATAAAATTCTCAGGTTACAAACATGGGGAAGTACACACATCTTACATATCCATAGGATTTGGTTCTGAACCAAGAATGAATCCATCTAACAGGAAAAACCCACTTTCTAAATTTTAATTTCGTATTAAAGAACTGATAAAAAGGATTCTGGCTAAGGGCCTCACTCAGCTGCCAGTATACAGGAAACTTTTTTCCAAGAAAAATCAGAATGGAGAAATCTGGGCTAAATGACTCAGAAAATGCATCAAGTAGGCCCTTTGCCACCTCCCCCCTTATCAAGGAAAACAAATGTGTCAGAATGATGCATCTGAGGACAGAGAAGATGCACAGGAGAATCATTCCCAAAGACGGGGAATCAGACCCACCCACCCTCTTTGCGTAAATGTTAATCAGTTATTATGTAATGAACTGTTTTTTTTTTTTTATATGGTTCAAGTTTGAATAATAAAAATTTTTTTTTTTTTTACAAGGAGGGGATAGGCTGCTACTCAATAATGGTTATACTTCCCAGGATAAGAACACCAAAATGTTGCCTGAAGACTACTAGGCACCAGGGATTAATACTACCACTAAATGCTTTAAGAATTTAAGAATTTGGTCCAAGTGTGGTGGTTCATGCCTGTAATCCCAACACTTTGAGAGGCTGAGGCAGGAGGTTCACTTGAGCCCAGGAGTTTAAGCCAGCCTGAGCACCATGGTGAGATCTTGTCTCTACAAAAAATAAGAAATAAAAAATTGGGCTTGCATGGTGGCTCACGCCTATCATGTCAACACTTTGGGGAGTCTGAGGTAGGAAGATTTCTTGAGAACAGGACATTACAAGCCTGGGCAACATGGCAAAAAGACCCTGTCTCTACAAAAACTAAAAAATTGGCTGGATGTGGTGGTGCACACCTGTAGTCCCAGCTACCTGGGAGTCTGAGGTGGGAGGATCATTTGAGTCCAGGAGATCAAGTTTGCAGTGAGCCATGACTGTACCACCACACTTCATCCTGGGCAACAGGGCAAGACTGTGTCTCAAAGAAAAAGAAATAATTAATATTTTGAAAAATAAGTGATTGAAAAATTTTAAAATCGAATACCTGGTACAGCAAATTATTAAGCCAATACTTTATATCCTGAAAACAATGCTGAGGCTACTTTTATATTTTGATACCTAATTTGTTAGAAGGTAGTACATGGAATGAAAGCCTCCTTCTGGCAAATCTCTTTACCCGCTCTGGTGAAAAGACATTTCAGGTAAGTTCTCTCTCACAGGTCCTCTGCAATGTGGAGATGTGAGAGATGGTTATGTTCTCCAGAAGCTCTAAGATCTAATGAGTCCTGTATTCATAAAGCCCAATATAACATACTGTGCAGAAAGATGAAGAAGAAAAATTTTTAGAAAGGATGGTGGCTTGTCCTAAAAATATTAACCCCAGATTGGAAGCTGAAGTTAATCAGCAGTCCATTTCAAGTAGATGAGACTGGTTTTTAACGTGACATATTTAGAAAGACTTTTCAACCAACACTGTGAAAATAAACAATATGCTGCTTTCCAAATGTTTTGCTGCCATGAAATGCTTCTTCAGTAGTTCTTGATTAGGATGTTTCTGCTGGAAGGCTGGATCTATAACATTCTTTCACTTTTTGGGGGTGACTTTCTCTAAGTAGTGCATATTTGTTTATTTAATTTTCAATTCCCTGCCTTTTCCAAAAAATGATTTGGTTCTGCTAATGCAACATTAATCACAGTGCACTTCTAATCCAAGAGAAGTATGTGAGAATTAATTGAATTCCTTTGGGATTATGAAGGATAGAAATTTAACTAGAAATGTAGTACTGAAAGAGTGTAGAGTTGCTATAAATTAGGTGATTGCTTTTTGTTCTTGGAGTCCAGGAGATCTTCCTCCAATACTAGAATAACAGTGCTTGATTTGTTTTTTGGGGTTATCTGTTTGCCTGTTTTTTTTTTCTTTTTGGATTGAGGAAAAACTTATTAAAACAAAAGGAAAATGACAAAGATGTTTGCCTTCTGTTCCTCATAGGCAAAATCTTAGAAGATACTGGCCCTGCTGCAGAAACTCTGTCTTGGATTCAGTTGGTCTCAGAACAGCTTACATCTAAGACTGGTTCTTCCCTAGGAGTCCGTGGCTGTGTCGCATTTATAACACTGAGTGGGTTTTCATGATTTCTCATGCATTGTTTCATGTGCATTCTCTAATTAGTAACAGTCATGTCAGTAGTTCTGACATCATAAATGTTTACCCTTCTAACCTTATACATGAGAAACCTAAGGCTAGACCCTCTAACATCATATTCCATCAACACGCCCCCTTCCTGTGTTAAAGGGTATTTCCCCAGCTAATGGACTGTTCTTTCTTGTGGCCTTTAAAAATATTACTTAGATGCTTTATGCTGGGTCTCCGTGTTTTGGGCTAACGAAACCTGGAGCTATAAACACAAGCCTGTGAAACCGGCAGAGACTGTGATAGGCGATTGGTAGAGCTGTGCTTCTGTTGTCCTTCATGCACAACAAGCCATAGCAAACAGCGATTTGAACAGAAATAGGCAAGCTTTAGGTTCTTACTTTATTTGCTGTTGATTGCTACTTACAGTTTCAGTGGAAAAAAATGAGCCTGGACATAGACTTTGAATAATTGGGCCATGTGGATTTTTTAAAATCACCAAGAAGAAAAAGGACACCCAACTTGCCACGGATTTGATTTTTTAAAGTCAGAAGGTAATTTGATTTGAAAAGATATCTTTTGTTGAAAAGGTGTTGCTAATGATAAGGGGTTTGTAATAAAGCCTTAAGTCCTGACATTAAGTGAAAAAGCAGGATGCAAAATGGTACTTGAATTATTTGTGAAATCAAGTAATCCTAAGGGGAAGGTTCACAATTTTGCATTACATTACACTGT